AACGCGTGGTTGAATCTGCTCCAAATTTTGCATGTGCATGCATCTTACCTCGGACCAGAAGCCTATAGATTTTGGGTTAATTATGTCGTATAATTAGCGAGATATTAACTAATTACCGATCTAAGATCGATAAGTTTTCGGTCTCCGACCGATATTCTCGTTCCCTCTTTACTGAGATCAATGTACAATTCCATACACTAATTCAATACATATATGAATACTGTAGGTTACTTGTATTTTTTTTTTTTCCAAACTTTAAGAATGTGATCAAATTTATACCAAATAGCGCCTTCCTATATAAATTGGACGTAACGCTCTTTACTAAATGGCCTTTTATTTATTCATTTTTTCAAACTTTGAGAGTGTGATCGAATTTATACCAGTTAGCGCCTTCTTATACAAATCGGACGTAACGCTCTTTACTAAATGGCCTTTTATTTATTACTTATCGATCTTAAGATCGGTAAGTATATTGATAGGTATTTGTCTGTATGTATGTATGTCTGTCTGTCTGTCTGTGTGTCTGTTAGATGAACGCGATATCTCACGAACGCGTGGTAGAATCTGCTCCAAATTTCGCATGTGCATGCATCTTACCTCGGACCAGAAGCCTATAGATTTTGGGTTAATTATGTCGTATAATTAGCGAGATATTAACTAATTACCGATCTAAGATCGATAAGTTTTCGGTCTACGACCGATATTCTCGTTCCCTCTTTACTGAGATCAATGTACAATTCCATACACTAACTTAATAAATATATGAATACTGTAGGTTACTTGTATTTTTGTTTTCATTTTTTCAAACTTTGGAATGTGATCGAATTTATCCCAGTTAGCGCCTTCTTATACAAATCGGACGTTACATTTCTTCACTAAGTGGCTTTTTATTTGTATCCTTGTCCTTTGATATTAATGTAAAATTTTAGACTATAATTCCAACTTATTTTTTGTCTTTTCGCCCAGAATGTGGATAAATTTATATTCTTTAACTTTCAGCTTCTGAAGGCTCAGGTAAATCAATCAATGTCATGTGTCGTAGTATTAGTTGTTCCGTGAAAATTTCTTATGTAATGTAATATGTCTGTTTTGTGCGTAATTAACTAATATGCTTTGTTGATAATAGAAACAGTTGCTAAAAAATTTGTCAAACAGTTATTCATTTTTACAAAAAATAACTTTTAAAAAGTTTTTCAAATGCAAATGTTACATTACGCTCATAAATGCGCAAAATGTCGTCCGCGTACTTCAGAGCAGTGTCTAAAAACTAAGAAGTCCGAGCACGTGTAGCGTTTCGAAGGTTGGGGTGATCGTTCCAATTCAACCTATACCTATACGCATTTTATTCGTGATGTCATCTGACCTTCAAATTTTCTGCCTTTTAGCGACCGCCCTGTAGTTTGTGTTAAATAACGAGATTTGATGGAAAATCTTGTTCAAGTCAATCGTAAATTGGGTCGCGTGCGCATATACGAAATAAGGCAAAAAGCCTTTCAAAATATGGTTTAGAAGCGCATAAATAGTATAGATAAATATTAGAGGTGAAGTACGTGGCCCATAGGAATTGGCGCATTTGTTAAGTTATATATATTTTCAAAATGACTTGTTCGCGTGAATATTCTGGGCCGCATGCAAAGATTTGCAAAAAGGCTATAAATTGGGGTGAAGTCCCATACGCCTATGTTCTAGTTGGCGAATTTTTCAATCACGCTGATCTGCACCGTATAGTCTCTACCACCTGATTCAGGTCATAAACAAAATCGGCGCTCCAGAAGTGTGTACCAATATGGAGGTAAATAATTTCGTTCGTCTACTTTACGTCAAGTTGTGTGAAGGAATGGAAGCCTATGGGCAGGGGAATATTCCCTTGGATAACACAGACAGTCCTCGAACTAGTAAAAAAAACTAAATAGGGAAAATCGGAATAAAATTATGGCCTAATCCTAACCTGGTACACACACTACGGGAGCACCCAAACCAAAGATTTTATTAGCAGTAAACTCTTTCAACTCTATAATAATAACCATCCTTACATTTGGTTAACGTCACGTGACTTCGCTAAAATATTGTCCACCTTTTTAACTTCGCTATCTGATAAGTAGTTATCTGATAACGATTGTTTTGCTGTTTTGGCAAAGCCTTAGGCAATATAATTCTTCCCAAGACATACATTGTATCAGAAAACAACAATTGTTCATTGTCCGTAGCGTTTGGTCGAAGCAGCACAGTCTTTACTAAATTTGTCATACTCTGGATCAATACTTTTGCGTGTAACCTTTAGGACGACAAACTTATTTAGAGTATAATCACTGAACTTGCTTTTGGTATTTCAGTGGTCGCATATCTTTTCTGAAGGATGATTCCTATTTACTTTTGAGCGAGTGCGCCTAATACAATACCATAAATCTATGTAGTTTTAGTAGCTCTTAAGGTTTTAGTGGTCGCCGTAGCTTTGCTCAGAGATGAGCTTACTTTACTTCTTAGTGAGTGCACCATCATAATTCTATACAGCTTGAGAAACTCATGGCGCTTCAGCGTTCACCCTTAACTTTGCTCAGAGATTGATCAAGTCTGAATTACTTCTGTGCGTTCTCTTGCTCTGGGCAATTTTTTTTTAAATATATCGGATTTGGGGAAACATTCTGAATTAAGATAGGCAGGACAGGTAAAACGATCAGGTAAATCTAAAACAGTAAAAATCATGATGAATTATATGTTTTTTCCTAAAAGTATTTTTGCTAATACACTGACCACTTATATGCCAGGCGCCCTATTGTCGGTGAGTTCTGTTAATAATGTATTTTATAACTGACCAATACTAGTGTAAGTAAACAAAAATTTGATACTCTTCTTTTTGTCCATCAAAGACCGTTCTTTAATATAGTATAATTCTTTGTTACGCTACTCACGTCGTCTCAATATCATCGTTTTAAGTATGGTCAATGCCTAATTTGGCGTACCCAACGAACGTCATTTGAAAAAAAAACGTTTTTTCTAAGGCCCACGGTCGATCTGGTTGAATTCGACTCTAACCTATGACGCACCAGGGTAATAATTGACCAATTAACTTTTACTGAAAGAGTCAAAGCATGTCCCGTAGTTGGCCGTGAATATCTCGACTACTATAGCAGGGTCAAGCATGGACGTGATACTATTTTTCTAGAAACGGTGTTTGGAATTTGTCTCTAGTCTCCGGACGGATTTATTGCCAGAGGCAAGCGCGCGGTTTAACGGGACAGATCAGATTGGGCGTTGTTGTAACAACAATATTAATTGCGTAGGCAAAGTTTGTTTGGTGTTAATATGTAGCTCTGTGGACCAGTAGAGCATTTATGTTGAATGCGCAGTTCAATGTTTCAAAGCAAGATAGAAAATTATTTAATTTCTACTAGATCTAATAATAACTATGCTTTTTACCTATGCAAATTAAAGTTGCTCACTTGCTTACTATTAAACAGACGCACAATGTTTCGTGCTCCTACGACTAATTCAAGGCAGTCTTATAAATATTATTGGTACGGACAATCGACCTAGCTTATAAATCTTTACTTAAATAAAATCTCGTTTCGCTTAGCTCATTCAAGGTTAAATGAAGCCGATTTTGTAATTTGAGCTTCAACATTTTTAGCAGCTCCACCACATCAACCGCTATATCTTATTAACTTAAAAGTTTTAGATATTATAAGTTTGGTTTTGGCGTGTTGTTGCTTTTTTGTGAAACTTTTATTTAGTATTCTTAAATGTCTCTACTTAACAAAATATTTTCAATATTTAGTAGTTTTCATTTGTATATATTAGTTTTAACTGTTTCAATATGTTCCATGTTTGGTCATTTCTTCGTGGATTTCGTGCTGGTCCTGGTATGTTATTATTGCATAACAAATAAGAATACAAGTAGTATATCGCTCATTGTGTACAGCATTGTTTGGTCATAGAAATGTTGTGTATTTACAATTAATGGATTAAATCGGCTAACGATTATTTGTGACTTAATAATGGTAGTAGTGTTTTATCATATAACACCGTGTCGTAACAATTGTGGTATTTATGTTAAAAATTTTGTCGTTTGAACTGTATCACATAAGCATGTATCATGCCATATATTCATTTGAATGTTTCCACCGTGTTCACATCTCAAACTGAAAGAGAGTCGTTTAAATGGGCTGAAGTAAACCAGGTCAATGCCGAATATGGCTTATATTCATCAAATTGGTAACATGGCTATAATAAGTTAGATGTATATATTAGATGTATATATATATATAGATGTTTCCCCGAGAATAAGACCTAGCCTAAATTTTTGAAATGATTTTAATATAAGCCCTCTCCTTAATATAAGACCTAGTCGATAGTGCAAATTTTTTTTTTAAATAAACAAACTGTTATTATAAATAAATGGATATCGTTTTTCATATTTTGTATATATGAAAACAGCGTAATTCTCTACTTTGTAATTTTGTTTTTGATAAATGAAAATAAAAATAAATCTAGAAATTGTGTTATTTTTCAAAATGAAATTGGAAGAGGACCATTTCCAATTTTTTTGGAAAACACGGTAATACGGCGAGTCATTGCTGTCTTTCCAGCGTTGTTATATTATATTATTAATAACAGATAACAGTGTCAGAAGCTCGTGGCATTTTAATGGTCGCACGCAGCTTCCCCCATGGGTCATTGTCTGAGTGATTTTCTTGCTTTGAGAAAGTATTCTTGTCAATGTTCGATAACTTGGTATTTAAATTTCTGTTTTTTAAATAATAATTGCACAAATTCTAAATTCAACCACAAAACCACGATTGGCTGGGTTATATTATGTAATTATGTTAGTTGAATAAGTCATGGTTATATTACATACATGGTGAATTTTACTGGATTATTTTTTATTAATCCTAATCCTTGGAATAGATCTTTTTCAAATAATATTATCTTCTATTTTTCTGGGTATTATATTAAACGGCACAGTTTTTCTTATCTCATACCTGTTTTATTTGTTTCAACAGCCGAGGGGCTTGTGATGAAAACAGTGGACTGTGATTGGATGAAACTGACCAATCAGACTGCTCACAGAACAAATGAATATGAGACTTCCGCCCTTGTTTTTCGTAGAGGTCAAAGTTTCAAAGTCAAGGTCGCTTTCCAACGGACTTTCAACGAAGCAGGGGATGAAGTGTACTTGGAGTTTGCCATCGGTAAGATTACTGTACTATGCCATTGTTGTTGACTCAGCAAGGCGTTGCCAGGACTTTTAACAGAGGGATAGGGTTCACAAATTTCTAAGTTAGGCCGTAATCGTCCGGCCGGAAAATGTGGGGTTTCAAAATTCTTGGAAGGTGTAAAAAGCGTTTCAATAATACATAAAAAATGTTTTATGTTTTGACAAATTTTTCGTCACCTATTTCAGGGCTTTGAAAAAAAAATTAAATGCAATTTTGGCTCCAAACCTTTAACCAAATATTGATACAAAATCCTTTTCATGCTTATTTATTAACATACACTAAAAATTTCAGTTAGACTATCCCCCACTTGGAATGGAATTTGTGAATACGGACCTCAATAAAGCCAATCAAATACCCTCCCTCAAATGTTTCTACTGCAACTCAACACTTGACTTGGAAAACCCAAATTATCGGCTAAAATTGACATAAACCACCACACTATATGAGAAACATATTTAACATTTGCAACTTTTTCTATCATTAGGAGCAAACGCACAACTGGTCAACGATACCAAAGTTCGCATAAAGATGGGACAGGTATTGGATCCCCAGAAATGGAGCATGGTTCTGGCCGACTCGGATGAGACATCCATCACTGTTGAAGTTAGCATCCCTCCTAATGCAATTGTGGGAAAGTAAGCAATTCGGTTTCATATCTCGGTATTTTCTCTTGTTTCGTTAACCATCACAAAATAGTAAAAATAGTATAAGTTATAAACAAGATGGTGCACAACATGATAACTCCAACCTGGTACGCATACTATGTTTAGGTTGTGCGCCATCTTAGTGCACATACTTCGGAAGTACCCAAAAGAGTACAAGCCTGATATAAGTTGATGGTACAACATTTTTTTGTCGGCTGTATAGCCAACTTTGAACATCTAGTCGGACCATTCATAAAATTGCGGAAAGTCAAGAGATGGGAATGCAGCTATTGCTTATCTTTGTAGTAATAAAGGCACCAGAAAAAAAGACGTAAGATTTAACGCGGCGATAAGAGTATTTTCCGGTTTTCCCCACGTCAGCGACTTCTTAAACATAAACTCTAGGATTTCGAGTTTACGCCTGGTGGTAAAATATCTGGACGTTGACGAAGGTCCCACTGAATGATGGCAAGATTGTGGCCCGCGGGCCGCCTGTTGCACACCCCTGTGTTAATCAAATGGTTTTTGGACTTTTTGATGGAACAGAACCCGAATGAAGCATTCCGTAGTCTCGGGGAACCCCTGTGCAACAGTTTTAATATCTTTTGTCTGAATTGTACAATGCGAGAAATTGCTTATTTTGCTTTGGGATCGACCTTCCTTGTCAGAACATTCTTCTTCAAAGTCTACAAAAATTCCGATCTGAAAGTATTTTATGAATTTATAAAATAAATAGTTTATGACGTCACATAATCACGTCACTACTTTGTTATGTTAAAAGCAATAGCCACAAAGGGCTTGCCGGTGTCATTTGCGTTGCCTAAGCAGAATGAACAAAACAATGCATTCCCATGGCGTGCTTTGTTGTCTGAGAAATTTGCTATGATATCATCAAATGCTTTTAACGCCTGTAGCGATCGGGGTACAGAAATAGGCCGGTATCTCCCATGGGACGGTGATTCTATACGCGAAGAAAGAAGCGCCGTACAAAAATTGGAACATCGTTAACATCGCTGCGTTAAATATTGGTCATAATTTATTTCGCTGTAAATGAAGGTGGGTAAGGATTTGAAAATTTGGACGCATATTACTCACTGATTTAGTAATTTTCAATTCCGCGGCTAAAACAACAAAATCCGGCTCCAGTTGGGGAACGCAGCATTACAATATAACACTTCTTGCCTCATGGTTATCGGTTAATCTTACTCCAAATTGCGAAAACAAAATCGACTATCGATTCTTAAAGAAAACTTCGACTGTGAAATATAGTCCTTTACAATCTTTCCAATTTTTTTTTGAAGTTCGATCTGGACTCTGGACTATAGCTTAAGTAATAAGATCATCCTGTCTGATGAACTCTTACCCAGGTCAGATGAAATGTTACAGAAATATATTCATAATACTGTGCAGCAAGACTCTTGAATCAATTGAGATAGATATTACTTATCGATCTTTAGATCGGTGAGTATGTTGATCTGTCTGAGGTATCTGTTTGTCTATCTGACACTTTCGTATGTTACGCGATATCTCACGAAAGCGGGGTTGAATCTGCTCCAAATTTTGCATGTGCATTCATCATATCTCGGACCAGAAGCCTATCGATTTTGGATGACTTATGTCTCATAATCAGGAAGTTATAAATTAAATAATTAGTTTTTTTTCGGTCGATCGATAAGTCTTCGGTCTCCGACCGATATTCTTGTCTCCACTCTTGCTACATCATTCTTGCATTAAATGCATACAATCCACCGGCAAAAAAGCAAGCGTAGGAAAGGAAAAGAAGTTTGAAATACATTTATTTTAGTGTGCAGTGAGACTCCAGCGTAAACCCGATCAGTAGCACTAGACGTGTATCACTTGCTATTTTAATTTTAATATACATTGCAGACCTGCCTTTTGGGAGATGTGGTTTTGCTGAATGGCGCAGACACATTGTGTGTAATGTTATGCATATAGGCCCAATGCGTCGGATTTTATAAATAATTTTGTGAGTTTAGTGGGTGCCATACTTTTTAGTGGTTCCCAGCCCTATTTTTCAAGCGCCTCGCATTATAAAAAGGATTTTATTAAAAGTTCCCGACCCAAGGATATACTCACATACTAAATTATTAAATAAATAAAATTAAATGAGTAAAACAAAACACTCATTTTTAAATATTTATTTCAATAAAAATTAATTCAAAGTTACGATAATGAAAGAGCAGCGCTTGCATGCCTCATGCGACTTTTGGAAAACGTAATGTGGGCGTAAAAACGTAACGTAAACGTAAAATACCCTTCCCTGGGTGCCCTTAGCACGCGCTTATTTTGCTTAATGGTTAATCCAGCACTGCCTATACCAGAGATGAGAAAATCGATTCTGCATCTGAGATGCTAAAATAAAAGAGGGTGAACGTACTACGAGCAATATAACCATACTCCCTCAAAAATTCCATAAAATTATTGAGATTTTTTAAAACTTTCAATTTTAATATTTATTTTCTAGATACAAAACCGTCGTCGAGTTCGTTAGCAAGCTTGAGAACGGCGAAATCAAGAGGTCACGTGACAAAGAGCCTGACGTCGTGATCATTTTCAATCCTTGGTGCAAAGGTAATGGGCGTTACCATGGCGTTGCCAATGTTGGGAAAAGTTGACGTTGAAGCAAATACATTTTGCGTTTTACGTTTACATATGGATTACATATGTTTTTTTTTCATTTTCGTTAAGGTAATGAAGAAATATATGGGTTCTGTTTATAATATACACTGTATTCCCAATTGTTAAAGTTCTAATCACCCCCGAGGCTGCGACACTGGGATTCGAATTCGTAGATCTTGCCCACTATAGCCAAGAGTATTGCAGTTCACACCACCTAGTTTTCCAGGCTTATCATCAGTTTGCGATATGATAATGCCTTTTTATGATTAAGAATAAAAATTCTTATTCTCAGACGACTCTGTCTATTTGGACGACGAGGCACAGAGGGAAGAATACGTTCTCAACGATACCGGAAATATATACCGTGGCTCTACTTGGAGAATCAGCCCTAAAAGATGGAATTTTGGGCAGGTGAGTTAATGTAGTAATGGGTAGAACTGGGCATTTTCGTATATTTATATATTTTTTCGAATCGAATCGAATCTCGAATACTTGGGAGATTGTATGCGACTTTTTTTTTATCGTAATTCTTGTAAGTCGTTCTGAATCAATCATTAAAAACATAGAATACATCACTCAGACAGATTGCTGAGCGTTCACACACAATAAGAAACACGTTTTATCAATACCTTACAACAGAAAATAGTCATATGTCAGAGTTAAGTTGAAAAAAAATGGCTTCAAAAATAAAAAAACATTGGGGAATTCCCCTCGACCATTGGCGAAAAAAAACATGATGGCGGCAATTCGAAATTTTGCTCTGATCCGATTCGAATAATTTACTATTCGATTCGATATGTCCAGTCTTAGTAATGGGCGCAAGAGCCAAGTGGCGTTAGAAAAGTAGAGAATTTTGTTATTACTTCAATTACAGCATTGATTTTCAACCAGGATTACGCGGCGACCTGGGGACTTTTCGTACAACTCACGAGTTCTGCAAATATTTATTAAAATTCAAGTCTAAATTATTATATGCACATTGTTTAAATTAAAAAAAAATACCTCCAAGTCGATGAGATTGCATACAACAGTGGCACCGATCATTTTCGATTATCATGGCAGAAAAATGAATGTATTCCCCGTAAATATTATCGATTTATGTCGAATATTATTAAGTAATAATTGAATGAAAATTTAAATTTTAGTTTGAAGAAAACATCTTGGACGCTGCTTTGAGAATCATCGACTCTGATTCAAGAACGTCATCCAAAAGTGGGAAATGGCTGCAAAAACGGAGAGACCCAATCTGGATTGTGAGGGCGGCATCTGCACAGGTAACGAGGGGTAGAAATTTTGTATTAGACTTTCATTTTGTCAATGTCTCGGTTATTCTAGCCTTCTACATGGTATAACCTAAACTTGTTTAATTGCTACGTAATCGATGTTTCCCCGACCTTTGACCTCACGAAGCGCATTTTATTCAGATTGAGGAAAGCAAAATTACAAAGTGGGACTATTACAAAATTTTGACGACAGTTTCATTTTGTGATGTAATTACAAGCTCCTCATGCTGAGGAGCTCCACCCACACATAACTATTATTTACCCATTTTAAATAAAATTCTCCCATTTTTTCAGGTCAATGACGGCGTTCTTGTTGGAAACTGGTCAGGAGACTATGAAGGTGTGTATTCCTTTCCTTGAAAAGGTCAAAGGTTATGTTCACTCGTAATTTGTATAACTAATGACTTATTGGCGTAGTCTAACGTTGCACAATTGCATGACAATTGTATATATTCTTTGATTTGTTTAAAAACACCTTTTACCAAGGTCTTAAATACACGGTCACCGATATGCGAGGGGAGACCATTTCTGATATACCTGGATCTTTCCTCTTTAGCATTGTCGGCCAATTTATTACACTTTTGTACGATGTAAGGCAGAAACTGAGCCCTTCTTAAAGTTATAAACAGGAGATTGAACAACCATTTATGTTTAATTCAATTGGAACATCTTTGAGGAAGAACACAAATTTTAGATCATTTGAAGCATTTCAGAAAAAACAATATTTTGTGCAAAGTTTCCCAGAATACTGAAATATTTGGGTACAATCATACACAAACAGAGGTGTTTGTCTTCATTTTGTGGTAATTAAGAAATTGATAGAATATTTGGACCTCCTGAAGTATGTGCACCAAGATGGCGCACAAACTGAACTCAGGTAGTGTACCTGTTCAGGATTCAGGTTGTGCGACATCTTGGTGCGCATACTTCAGAAGTACCGAATATTTTCTGAGATCATCCTATATTTATTATTTGTAATTTTAGGTGGTGCTTCTCCTCTTACTTGGAACGGTAGCGTCAAGATTCTTCAGCAATATTACAACACAAAACGCGAAGTGAAGTTCGGACAATGCTGGGTTTTCTCTGGCGTAATGACAACTATTTTGCGAGCCCTTGGTAAGTTATAAGAATTTCGGTTTCAGTGGACGACGTTTTTTTTTTTTGAGTTTGCTGCAAGCGAAGTCGCACGCTCTCAGAGTGAAGGAGACTAGTCTTTGAAAGTTTTCAATTCGGATTGAGCTTAGTGGAAATAGCCACTTTTGAGGAAACTACGACGGCAGAGGGCTAAATCCGTCCCGTTGAGTGATACAATCTGGCCGGTTTGATGCTGCCATAAATTTCTGCTCCCAACCAATTCTGCATGAACTACAATATTACATAGTTCTTGTTATTGGGATCTTTATGGTTCAATAGCCTTGTTAGAATATTATCGTAGTCTGTTGTATTTTAGGTCGCCACAGATTCCATGTTATGGGGACGTTAACTGAACTACTACTATTTTTCGCTCACACGATTCGAATTTCACATTTCTTTCTTTCGCCTTGTGAGCTTCTCGTTTGGCTTTTGTAACTTTGTAAATAAAAATCTGATCGTAAAATAAAACTTTGTACGCTACAGTTACATGGCCTGCCAGTTAGGTGGGTAAAATCCCCTGGACCAGAAACCTTGCCCAACTCCTGCTTTAACCCTAGCCTAGTTAGCTGGCCGATTTTTTTCTAAAATATTGAAGTGGATACTTTTTTACAGGTATTCCTACTCGCAGCGTCACCAACTTTGCGTCCGCCCACGATACCGAAGGATCGATGACTATTGACAAATACATCAACAAAGAAGGCGAAGAAGTCGATCTTGGAGGCGACAGTGTGTGGTTAGTTTTATTTGAATTTCAGAAGAAATTGACAAACGGGTGGTCCGCCGAAATCGGGACTTAAAATGGTCGCGCATTTATGAGAATATGCAAATCTGTAATCCAGTAAAAATAAAGCGCGTGGTTAGTTTTGTATGGATTTTAAATGTAAAATTATTTGTTTGACGAAAAGTCGGTCCAGGAATTCGTTGCTTAAAATGGTCGCGCATTTTCGAGAATTTGTTGTAAGTATGCAAGTCATAGTTATAGTCAAATTTTCCATTAAGCAATTGTTTAAAAATCAATATCAATCAAAATTTCGAAAAAGAGTTGAATTCCCCTGCCAGGGCAGGGAAGCTATGAGGAATCTAATCTGTTCGTGAAGCTGCCACCCGGAGAATGTAATATTTAACTACGATTTTACGGATCGTGAAATCAATTTTTTTTTAAATCGTGGAGAACAGTATTTGACAGACTGACACAAAAACTTATATCTAAGAGTCACGCTACCACCATATGACCTTTCTAGGCCAGGGTATTCACCATTCTATGAAGACTACACTAGCGGGAATAAAACGTTGTATATTCGGAATACATTATGTGTTTCTCACAAACTCATTTTTCCATTGTTGCAAGCATTTTCAAATAAATCAGAAAGTACAAGTTTTGTATATACATATCTAAATCTGGACGAGTCGGCTAGGCTTCTGTAATAAGACGTTAAGTGAGGCAATTACAATGAAATTATATATTTGCCGATTAACTACATGATTTTATAACATCGGCCCATGAGATTGAAAAATAATTGAAGACTTCATTTTTACCTAGGAATTTCCACGTCTGGAACGAATCTTGGATGACGCGTCCAGATCTTCCCAAAGGATATGAAGGGTGGCAGGTAATTGATGCCACGCCACAGGAAATCAGTTTGGGATTGTACCAGACAGGACCAGCTCCACTAACAGCCATTAAGAAGGGTGAGCGGTTCAATGGAGTTTTATTCCACGTTTTCTAAAAATAGTGAAGAATGTGGCGTGGTTTATCCACTTCCCTATTAACAAATGAGTGGTAATTAACGCCACCCCCTTTCCAATTAAAAAACCTCATCCCCTTTCCCTCTCTCTTAATTTTGAGTTTGAACACCACACTTTAATTCCTAAGCTGAACATATGTTTTTTTGCAGATGTTCAGTCATATAAATAACAATTTCACTTCAAGTTATAATTAGTTTCATCCTTAACATCAAAATTTGAAATATCTCTGCAAAAGGAACCATAACCCCCTTTTTAAAATCGAACCAAACTTCTAAACATGCCAAGTAAGAAAGTGACCTGTCATGTGGAATTTGATGCCGATTAGCTCTTGTCCCGGAAATAAATCCGGAAAGTCTGTACTCAAGTCAAGGTTTATAACTAATACTATGCAATTCAAGAGTTCTGGCTGCACACTTACACAATTGTATGTCTGATTTTGGTCAGACGAAACTCAGCAGAAATACATTTGTGTTGGTGTGCAGCAGGACTCTTGAATTGCATATCATGGTATTTTTATTCCTGCTACAGCATCTTTGCATTATACGCATATGGATTCACTAGCACAAATACATTGAGGAAGGATTGGGAGTTAGGAGTTAGTCTCGTGTGACCTTTACTGATATTTATAAAAAAATGCTTATCTTTCATTACAGGAGAGGTATATCTTGGCTACGAGACCCCATTTGTGTTTGCGGAGGTCAATTCTGATCGAGTTACCTGGGTTGTTGAGAAAGATGACGGCAATGCAGAGATTACAAGTAAGTTTCATGAAAGTAATGTCTAGGCCAGTGGCTCTCAAACGATGAGTCCCGCCATACAAGGAGAGAGTAAACAAGTTTTGAGAAGTCGTGACGCTCATTAAAAATAAGGGGCTCCCGAAGTATGCGAACCAAGATGGTGGACATCGGAATGTAATATGTGTACTAGGTTAGGGTTAGGCCATAATTTTAGCTATAAATACTACGGGAGGCTCTTGGCTAGTCTTCGAACTGATAAAAGGACTAAAATAAGGAAAATTGGAAAAAAATTATCGCCTAACCCTAACCTGTTACCCATGTTACGTTCCGATGTCCGCCATCTTGGTTCGCATACTTCGGGAGCACCAAAAATAAATATATTTGTTAGATTTGATTTTGCCCGTCTTATTTTAGATAGATAGATAGATAGATCTCTTCATTGTTTATACATAGCAATTGCATCCACGTACTTTCAACGTGTTTTTTGCGCAAGTTTGCCTGAGTAGCCTAAGTTTAGCTAATTATTTTTGAGGTGGGGCGGCGCGAGACTTGACAAGTTCTAAAAAAGGGGGCTCCGCCTAATAAATTTTAAAACTATTGCTCTATAGGCTGACTTTGAAAGCTAACATTTTTTTAACAACCATTTACTTGTTATTCGCATAACTAGTCCCTTCATTGCAAAGTCTAAAAAATAAAACGCTCAAATGCAGCCAAAATACACCAATTCTTTACCAATTTTTGACAATTTTAGGTGTTGGCAGAAGATATACCCAAAACGTTGGCAAATTTATCAGCACGAAAAAAGTTGGAGAAGACGATCGTGAAGACATTACTGACCAGTATAAGTTTAAAGAAGGAAGCCCAGAAGAGAGAGCTGCGTTCAAGTGAGTAAATATCCTCTAAGTCAGTGATCTCAAAACTCGTATGTACTTTTGGCCCTTTCCATACGTCAATACTAAATAAAACATTCGGTTAAAACAATTTGTAATACAACAGAGTGTAATTATTGGTGCAATTGTAAGGATTTCACCGATGCCTTGTCTGGGACTGGGCATTTTCAAATACCTGATGATTTCTGACACGAATCGAATGTTTTTTCCGAATCTAATCGAATCTCGAATACTCAATAGATATAAAATTATAGAGAGATATAAAATTGTATGTAACTTTTTACTTGTATTAGGTCCTCAGACAATAAATTACTGAAAACATAGACAACATATTCAGACAGATTGCTGAATTGCCGATTCGAATATTCGATTCGAAATGCCCAGCCCTAGATACAACGCCACGGTGTCACATTTAAGATGCCACGTATCGCCATATTGATATGCCATGGGAAGTATCGTGCCCAGGCGGCTGTGGGTCGGACCCTCCTTTTTTGAAATTAAAAACGGGGACCCGCTAGCCATTATCAGACCCCATACCCCCCCCCCAAGGTCTTTCGAAAATTCCTGACCACGCGACAACGAGCATGGCCTGGCGTGACCCCTGTTGCGTCACGATTTTCTAGTTTACAGCTTTAAAAATTATTCAAATATTTTCACAACAGACTCGCCTACGGATTTGGATCTCAACCAGATTATCAGAGAGGATTCCTTGCTCTACAAGACGAGGAAACAGCGGATGGTGTTGATTTTGGTAAGAAGTTTTAGCGTTAGGCGTAACTCTGTTGGCATTGCAGATTTCTCATCTTGGGTTTAAATCCAATGCCCCCACCTCACCCACAGTTGGATAAATTGGGTAGGGCAGGTCCTCAAATTGCTCTATACAAATCCCGCGAGCTATTCGTTTTCTTATTGAAATACTGACTTGACAAACTTTTCTGTCCAATGACGCAATAACCGCGTTGATGAAATTTACCAACAGAAAATATATCTGAGTAATTTATTAAAGTAAATTCAATTTTAATTAGCATTACTCGGTAAGTAACAATGCTTTTTTTTCATAAATTTATTGTGGGCCTACGTGAATAATATTCGACCCTTTCACGGGTTCCATAACACCAAAAGTTTGCGAACCCCTGGGTTAGGCAGTTTTTATCTAGCAATGCCTCTGATTTTTTTTGTTCAATCCAAATATTTATAAATTTCTTGACACAACCTGACTCTGCTACTTTTATGTCGAAACTAGCAAACTATTTTTAAACAAAAAAATATGCCTGTCTGAAGAAGTCTGATCTCGGTCAGACAAAACAAACCAGAAATAAAAAAATATTTTGTCTTGCTTGCATCACACTTTCCATAACAGTCACTCACTTGTGTTACTTGCGTCACACTTGTATTGCTTGTCCCGCACCTCAAGTATTCAATCAATTTTTTTCAGGAAGGCGAGTACAACAAAACATTTTAATCTAATTAAAATATTTTATTAACATTATTGGTCATTTTTTAGAGTTTACCACCGACCCAGTAGACGCCAATCTTTTCAATGGCGACGAATTTACCGTAAAAGTAACCATGAAAAACAAAGGGTCTGAGAAGCGTACCGTCAACGTGACTTCGACTCTGCACAGCACCTTATACACCGGAGTGCCGAAAGCCTTTGTGAAAAGAGCGAAATTTGATGAAATAGTAATGGAGCCGAATGCATGTAAGTTTTTGGTTGATTTTGTTTTATGGCGTTAAATTTGGAAGCATTGACCATTTATGGCTGTCGTAGTAGCTGTAGTAACTTTTTATTCTTTCCAGAATTGATTCAACTTAACTATATTCGTTAATATGAAAATATATATAAAATACGAAATTTTGGTACATTTATATACATATGGGGTATCCATAATATCTTGAATCTTTTTTAATTGCGAAGGGAAATTATCGATACCATATATTGTTTTGGCCCTCGCAAATGTATTAAATGAAGTAAAAATACTCAAACAATTACTGATTTAAAAACAACAAACCTGGTTAAAATATATTGAGAACCGACTTCATAACAAAATTGAAACTTTAAAGGGACTTTACTGACACCTTGCGTATATTTATACTATACAAATATTCACAGCCGTAACCAAAGAGATCAAAGTTGCGTACAACGAATACTCAAGCAAGCTGGTCGACCAAAATGCCATGCGCATTATGTCTGTAGCTACGGTGAAGGAGACTGGCAAGATGTTCTCGGAAGATTATGAATTCAGATTGGAGAATAAACCTGACAGCGTTAAAATTGTGGTAAGTATTCTGCTTTCAGGTTAGGAGTGGACATGTCGATTATTTTGCTGAGTTTTTGCTTCTTTCATTTTTCTTGTTCCGGTATCTCGAAAATGTCGTGTCCCACTTGTGTCACGTGTCTTACTTGTCCCACGTGTCCCGCTTGTCTAACGTGTCCCGCTTGTCCCCCCGGCAGGCGAATATTATTATTTAAGCAAATTTCAATTGAAAAATTACGAGAAAATAAATGTTTTTCAAACTGGTTTTCTAGTCAAAGTTTGAAGCGATAATACCCTAACTATTTCAATATTAGAGATGTTCAAATATCAAAAATATATGTTTTTCTCATTTTCTGAGAACAATTTTCATCATGTTATTTCCCAGGTTTTCATAAGACAAACCGCTGAAGGTAATTTAAACACAAATTTTTTTTAAAAAAAAGTTTTTTTTAAATGATAATAATCGAAAAAAATTGGAAAAATTGGAAAATTCAAAATATTTGTTTTTCTTATTTCTTCAAAACTGTTTCTTCTAGTTTTAATCTTTTTGTCGTCGCGTTGTTTTGGAGACAAAATGACTTCCTCCTTGATCACTTGACCAATTGTTCAAATGTTTAATAGTGAAAAACAGAGGTATATCTCAAATGCCTCAATTTCTCATTTTTTTCTTTAATTCTCGTCTACCTCCTGAATCTTACCATTGGGACCGATTCACTACCTCAATAAATATATTTTTTTCATTTAACACAGACTGAAAAGGAGATGCAAGTCGGTAAGAAGTCGAACGTTACGGTTGAATTCACAAATTTCCTGCCTGTTAAGCTTACTCACGTGACTATCTCGCTTGAAGGACCAGGATTGTCGTCACCTGTAACACATAAAATTGCGTAAGTTTACTCCATTTTTTTAAAAGAACTACCTAAACAATATAAAAATGAAGACACTATAACATTCACCTTATTCAAGATTGCATGGTGACACTTAGGTATGCGATCTTATTGCTTACCATGATCTCAACTGCTTAACATTAATTGTAAAATAAATAAGATAGTCTTATAGGTAACTATTTGATGCGCCATTGGTTGATTCGAACTATTTTCTCAATACGTTTCCTATTTTAGTCGAAGTACCTTGCTTTGAACAAACTTGCAATTTTTTATCAGTTTTTTTTTTCCACTTTTAATTCGAAGCCCGAGACCTTCCACGTTTAGTCGACGTACCTCTATTTTAATAAACCTAATTAATATATTATTTTTATTCTAGTGGTCAGGTTCCTCCGGGTGAAAAAGTGGAGTCAACTTTTGTTATCACTCCAAAACGTGCCGGAGTTAGCCGTTCTATAATTGCCGACGTAGACACGAGACAAATCCAGGATCTCAAGTCGTACGAATTTATCCGGGTGAAGGCTGCTCCGGAACCGGAAGCTGCAGCCGCTCCCCGCACCACCGAAGCCGAGGTAAAACCGACGGCCGCTGCAACCGAAGAAGGCAAGGATAAATGATCAGAAAAGCAAACTTTATAATTATATTATTGGTGTCATAATGCAAACTGATGGAGTTTTATTGTTGATTTATACTATAGAATAATGATGTCATAAAGATGCATCCTGACGTCACAATCAGGTATATCATCTCCATTCAATTGAGCTACTACATCATTTTTTTGAAATTCGGTACACTTTCCCCAATGAAGCGTATATTTTCATCTAATTGCGTCACTAATGACGTCATAGATTTGTGTAATGTTTAACATATCGTTTGATGTTTCATTATGTCATTCGAATTTAGCCTCTCCGTAAGTTGTTTTTTTTCACATCTAGTTGTAATGAATGCGGTAGAGCTCGCTGCATTTAGGTTTGAGTCCAGGTCAAAGGTCAACCGGATATGTCATTACTAAAAACTTAGGACTAATGTACGCTCTTTCTGTTACTGATAAAACAGGTCGAATTTACTACTCGTGGATTTTCCGTACAATTTGCTGTAATATCTTCCATATATATCCTAATAAAGTAAAACTGAAATGGCTGCATTTTTCTGTGATTAGAAACGACCAGAGGTATTCAGACAAGTGTCGGACAAGTCCTTGTCAAACATTTCAAGTTTTCTAGTATAAATTTTACAAATAAAAAGCGACTCCACATATTTCTTCACATTATTACTCCATATGCGCACTGATGTTTTGTGAATTTTTTTGAATTCACATTACAATAGACATTTTTTCTATCTGAACGTTTTCAAACCATCGCTCTGAGCAAAACCCTTAACAATCGTCCACAATGTTGGTATGTTTTAAAAGAAGAGACGGCTTTTCTATATTATTAATGAACATCTGGGTTAGATCATCCTTAGTCAAATTGCTCCGTGAAACACGACTGTTCCGCAACTTTAAGCTTCTGAGTGTTCCGCGGCACACAGATCAAAATTTGAACTAAATGGTCGCCATGGCGATCTCGTCATACTTCGGTGACTCTGGGTATTGAATTTGCCTCTCAACTGGCGGAAAACAGACGGACAGGCCTAGTTATCTAAACAGGCGGACGAGCCCCATATCAGTATAGAAAACTAGTTTTTGTAAACCTTTTTTGTATCATTAACCGTCGGCTTAACTTTCTATTTATGAAGTTTGCCAGAAACCGTTTTATTTCGCCATATGCTATTTTTTGACAAACTACCATTCTCAGTGTTCCGCGGGGCAGGATAGAAAGTTTGAATGTTCCGGGTGAAAAAAAGTTCGAGAAACTCTGGGTTATATAGATACATGACATAACCTTAGATAAATGGCCATAGTGAGTTTTGAAACCTGGGCCATATCGATGATTCGGGTCCTTGTTTTTTTCACGAGACATTAGCCCTTTGCGTTTGAGGCGTCACTTGCAATATACAGGATGTCCATAAAGTCCCTTTACAATTTCAATTTTGTTATGAAGTCAGTTCTCAATATACAGGGTGTCCATAAAGTACTTTTACAATTTCAATTTTGTTATGAAGCCAGTTCTCAATATATCTGTCTTAACCAGGTTTGTTTTTTAATCAGTAATTATTCAAGTATTTTACTTCATTCAACACATCTGTGAGTGCCAAAACAATAAATGGTATCGACAAATACCTTTGCAATTTTGAGACTTTATGGACACTCTATATAACATGGTGATTGCAAACTTGGTACACCCTTTTATTAAGTTATCATTTATCCAAAGAGATACCGGAAAGACAAACTTGATTTAATGACGTTTTACGTCAATCAAGCAATCGACCGCTCGGTTAATAAAAGATAAAGCATGCTCGAAAATATGATTAATTTCAAATAATACAAATTTGGAATTAATGCGTCAACTTGATAGAACAAAACGATTAACATGATAGCATAGCCAAATATCTTAAATACCTTGTTGAGCCTCCTTTTGGCAAATGCAAATAATGTTATTTTCTGCACTGTGCGATACAAAAAGAATGGCGAGAACGGTCACACGAAGATCGGCACTGTAGATGCTCTTAGAAAATGAGCATAATTTGGCGTAAAGGTATGAGACCAACAAGTCTGAATATTTTAATGTGATGTAGTCTTCTAAAACAGGGCTACTCAACTGGCGGACCACGGTCCAAATCCGGACCTTTCGGGTATTGGATTCGAACCTCGCCTAATTCTTTTTTTTGGATCATTAGCCCCACTTTTGAAGATTCCATTTATAAAATCACTTTTATAGATTTAAATATATATGAAAAGACTATAATGCCATGATAAAACATTCTTGATTAGCTAATAATCATTAACTGGCCGAGGAAGTGCGTCTTTATGGATGCCGGAATATAATTTCTGGGAAGACCGGAACCAAATATTTCTGAAGTTTTGTATGCGGATCTTTGGTAAAAAATAGTTGGGTAGCCCTGCCCTAGAAGACAATTTTATACCAGCTACTCAAATTCGAAGACAAATTACCAAGTAATTGAAAGGGAAGAATAATTGGAATGATACCAATAATAATAAAAACGTTCTTAGATCTGTTTTGTGATTAGGAATTACTTCGTAAGATTCGTTGCGTTAGAGTTATTTTGAACGGCATATGTTGATGTACGCCAGGTATCTTAAATTTTGAAAGGCATGTGTTGATGTACGCCAGGTATCTTAAGTCATGATAAGAATGAGGACTTCATGATATATTACTAATGTCGCGATTGTTTTGCTGTACAGGTATTAGTTTGTGTAGGCAGATTTCGTTTACTTTGGCACGATTTGAGGTACTCCTGTAGTATGCAAACCAAGATGGCGGATACCGGAACGTAGTATGTGTACCAGGTTAGGGTTAGGCCATAATTTCAGGTACAAATATTACGGGACCTACTTGGCTAGTCCCCGAACTCGTAATAGAACTAAAATAGGGAAAATTGGAAAAAAAATAATGTTCTAACCCTAACCTGGTACACATACTACGTTCCGGTGTCCGCCGTCTTGGTTTACATACTACAAGAGTATCGGATTTGACCTTCTTTATCCTGAAAAACAGTAGATCAACGATTAGCAGCAGTGACTTTTGGTAATTAAAATGAGATTTTTCTGTCCAGTCACACATCAATGATTTTATGTTGTGGAAAGGGACTATTAGCAAGTAATGGCAATTAGTGAGACCGATAGATAATTTCATCTTAAATTAGGAAAGTCGCTGATGTTATTTATCGCTTGCCCAAATATATATTAGGTTCGATTGAGGGCATGCTGTACTGTTTGGACTATACGTGAAATAACAGTACGAAAAAAGTGTGTACTTGTTAGTCAATCCAGCGACCCCTCATCAGTAGTTACAGCTTTAAAAACTCTGTACCAACCAAATACTAATTCAAAATATAATACCAGTAAAAAAATCTGAATCTCGGCCCACACAATCGCCGACAAATGTTCAGTCTAGAGAAATGTCGTACGCGGTACTAACGCTACATGGCACTATAGAGCAGGAGATATTACTGAATTAAAAAGATTTAGCGACGATTACACCAATGAGAAGTCGTAGAGTTAGATGTGCGTAATGGTGCTTCAGAAGTATGCGCACCAAGATGTCGCACGACCTGTCCTTTTTGTGGTTAGTAGGTAGACTATCTTAGTGGGCAAATTTTTAACAATAATGTTGATTCTCCTATTCATTTCTAGGTTCTCACAGCGCTTCTCACAGCGTAAGTAATTTTCATTCCCAAAGAGTGTTCAAGTGCTGTGATAAAATGGTATGCGATAGCTGAAAATCTTGCCATAGGTCGGGGAGTAGAATATAATAAATTTTTTAATTTTATTTGTTTCATTCAACAAATAATTGAAATTACTCGCTAAAACGGGACGCCACGACGACACCAGTGTATGGGTACCGTGTCAATCTTAATTACGTTAGCAGTAGTTTTCTGAAAACATCATACCCCCTTACGTATATGAGGTCACTTATTCGCTTATGTTTGCAGCATAAACCGTCCAGTTTTATTGCTTTTACATATTGTGGGATAAACAAACATTAAACTCATGAACCTTGCTAGCTCTAGTTTCCGAAAGGTCTGATAGTAAAACATATTATAAAAAGTATTTTATTTGTAAGTAATTGTAATAACTCATTAAAACTGGACGTCACGGGAACATCAGTGTTTGTGTATCTTAATCACGTTATCGATAGTTTTCTAAAAACATCCATCTTACATATCTGTGTTTTTTTCCCCAGCACATTGTTTCGAGCGCTGTGTCCAGTTTTTGTTTCTTTTACATATAGCGCAGATAAACAAACTTTAAACCCGTGAACCTTGTTAGCTCTGGTTTTCGAAAGGTTGTTGAGACCAAAATAGTCCAAACTTATATTGAAGTGTCTTAATCTGTGTATTTAGCTCTCTAATCCAAACATATTAACATTACCACAATTCCGTGTATATTTAACAGGCCCAAGATGGCCTAGCTAAATTTGTTCAATTTTTCAATCGACCTAGCTTGAAGCGTTCGAATGAAAAACGTGTCCCCCGTTTTGACACGTGGTTGCTGACGTAATAATAGGCTTTAAAAGTCCTTCACCACTTGCACATTGTTTACTTTCTTGTCAATTGAAGTGTTATGACGAAAACAAATGATAGAAATGATGAATTTTACTTTTGTTGTAACTTTTTTTGCTTTCAATAAGAGTGGAAAAAAAGCTTTAACTGTACGCTTAATGCCATATGTGGCTAAGCTTGATCGTTGCCTATATTGGAGTATATATGCAAGTATATATTTCACATTTTGCGGGGATGGTGTGCAAGTATTTATGTAACTTATCATTAGTCCACTTGAACTTTGCATTTTTATAGAGATCACAAAACTACTTAGAAAATCTGCCTCGTGTTTTTTTTAAAATAATAATACAACGTTTTCACTTCTTTTTCATTTATGGACCTTCCCCCAAGCATCGACTTCCTTGTTTACTTCGTGACATTAGCCAATCAACAAGATGCAAAAGGTGACGTATAAATGCCCCTTTTCGCATCCGCTTTTCAAGCGTGGTCGTAAACTTCACCTCGTTTTCGCGTTTTTGAACTCTATTCGTTAGTTTTCTGTTGTGTTTCGGAAACTTAAAAATAAATCAGATAATTCAATGATCACTCTGTCTTCCTAGGAGTTTTAATAAAATTGCAGTAATAAAAAAATAATGTAGAAATAGCTGTGATAGACTAAAGGTCTAAAATTCTTTACCGGTACTTTCAGAAAACAGATTGTTGTATGCGATGAATCATAATGATGATTTGAAGCACATACCCCATTTTACAGGCGCCAACTCGCAAAAGCACTTTAAAATAACCCCGAAAATTTTGCAATGATATAGTATAGGAAGAATTTTTCGGAGACAAAGGTCGGGGAGAGGTCCATCGCTGGATTGTGTACGAAAGTACTAAATTCAGCAAATTTTCCATTATGTAAAAACCAGAGTCTTTCTTGCTCGGCATTGTTCACCCAACTAATTACACTGTGGGCGGGGCGGGGCTGGGACGGGGAATAAAATTTGAATCCGAGTTATGCTATCTATCGTAGTTAGGT